GAGCATTGGCACTAAATCGCAAATCTTGACAAACAATGACAGGCTTAAGGGGTTATCATCTGCCAGGAAGATATTGAAAATAAAAAAGAGTTTTAAATCTCTCACATTTCTACAGTTGTCACAGGACATATTTTATATTTAAAAAGCAACAATTCAAGACAGTAGGAAGTCTCCATGAATCTGTATAAAGAATTTCAGCATTGGAGGCAATGCCGAATTGCTTACAGTACCATTCCCTTCCAGTCTTTACTATTCAAAATTTGCTTTGAATTGAAGATTTTGTTTAGTATCAAAGATTTCCTCTTCCTACTAGCTAGATAAACTGATGATATCTTTGTATTTTTGACTCATCAACCATCCGAACAGCAAAGCTTTTTACTGATACTTGACTACTATCCCCAACCCCATCAAGATTTTTGCTTCTGAAGTTCAGATGACATAACAACAATGAAAACATTCAGGATTTTGTTTCAAAAAGATGCTTTTTACCAGGATACAAAGCCAATATAATCAAAAGTCGACTGCTTTGGGGCTTTATTTGTCTGTTTAAGTGTTTCAGGTTTTGAAATATTTCCTCTCCTGATTTGATCAAAGAAAAAAAAAAGAAAAAGAAAGAAAAAAAATATATTTTTTTCATGAAACAGACGTGTGTCAAGACATGCACACATTCACCTTCAAACTCTATCCAGTCAGGATACTGTGCTGAAAAGAGTACAAGAGACTTTCTTCTAAACCTTGACTTAGTTTTTCTACATTAAGTTACTCCAGATGTTTTAAAGAGAACATATAAACATTAGGTCATCACATCATACAGGAAAAGAGCCTAACCGTATGGCTAATATCTAAAATATTTTCTAGAGATGAGCCTTTAAAACACTTTAAAGTGTTTTAGAAAATTAGAATTAACATATTTTGACTCTATACAAAATCTTGGGTCTTTGAAGGGAGGAGAGTACACTCCTATTAATCTCTCGGTTAAGTAACTATCTTTTTGTTTTAAGCTAAAAAGTATGCAAAAGATACAGTCATATGTTATCTAATGAAGCTTTCTGTTATTTTCTGAGGGCATGCATACTCCAAAAAAACATGCATATTGTATCTACAGTTTGACAGCCATCATGTGCATTATCCAGTATTCTGCAGGGATGAAGTGTCTTCAGAACATAGAAAAATATATAAGATGAATTCTTTTTAGACTGACAGCAAATGCGCATAGGAACTGATTAACCAAGTTTAAAAAGTCAACTGGCACCAGTGTTAGCAGCCTGCATAAGGTTCAAATGTCAACCTCCTCTGACTCAAAGAAACTTTTATTCAGATGGAGAGAGACTGAATCTAAAAAAAAAACAAAAAAAATAGAAATAAAATATTACTTCTATCACAAGATTTCCTAGAGAAGAAGTTCTTTTCTTCTATTATTCTATTAAAAACATAGGCATGGTGTGTAGGATTTTTTTTTTTTTTTTTTTTAAGAAAGATTAAATAAAAACATTCTTTCAAATCTTCCTGTGGAGGATTATATTTGCCCTTGCTAAGTAAGTATATGTTTGAGCAAGTAGACACCAAGCTGAAATGTGAAAGCTTTAGTTCTGTTCCTCACTTCTGCTCTAGTTCTCTACAAAGACTTTCTTCTATGTAATCTTTCCAACTCAGATCCTGCAGAAGACGACCGAAACTGAAGAGCTGAACGTGACTGATTTTAATATGAAATGGGTCACCTACCTCATTCTCCTTCAATAGAGCAAAGCAAGTGATTCTGGAAAATACAGAAAAACTGTCAACATAGCAGCAATAGTTGAAACAGTAGTTTAATGGGAGCAATAACAACTCTGACAAAAAGAAGGAAAAAGAAAGGCAAGACAGAATCAGAGAGTTCTTTTTAATGCTATAAAATTATTGTTAAGTATTTTAATCTGACACATTCACAGTCCTTTATTTAAAAAGGAGTTTTGATAGCTTTTCTTCATTTCACAGGCATGGAAATGGACTCAGATCAAATAACTTGCACAAGGACACTCATGAAACCTCTGTAATGCCTGATCTGGGTTCTATCTTCTGACTACTACTAGTGAGTCTTAACAACTCCCTCTTTCCTCTGCAAAGCTGCAGGCTTCAGCAAACAAAGCATTCCTTATAGCTAATTGGTATTACATGGAAACTCAACTGCTCTTATTTACAAAACTACAGATTTATGTCAAGCAAAGCCAATTATGCTTAATGTTTAAACTATTGCAGGTGCTCAATGACATTGTTGCTAGGCAGTAGAAGTGAAATTGCTCTTTTAATGCATCTTGTTCCAACTGGGAGCATGTGTTTTATCATCAGTGCAAACTTAACAGATGGAGATCTTAATCCTTACCAACGAGCTCTTTTCACCCACACCCCCCTCAAAATGCTGTCCTGTGCATTTAAACATAACGGAAGTGCTCAGTGAGTTGTATGGGACAGAACTTGTTTTTTTTTTTTTTTCCTCTACGTGCTTACAAAAATGCAGTATAAAACACATGTCTAACTCTAAAAAACAAACAAACAAATCAAACCACATAACACCAGCAGTAACTAGTAATACATCTGGCTATTCAAAATTAATAACAACCTCCTCACAATGCAGCACCTACCAAAATAGCTTGGACGAGAGTTGGTCAGCTGGTAGAGCTGGTAGACAACTGATAGACAGCGTACGACTGAACGAGGATGTCATCTATTCCTGACAAGGGAACCTCACTTAGGAAGTGATTTTTTTCCCACACACTATGTCAAAAACATAACTCATTACGATAAGAGTGAAAACATGCATTACACCTTGTGCAACACCACACAAATAGATGATTTGAAACACAGGCAATCTGAATATTCTGTTATCTCTTATTATGCAAATTGTCACAGGTAAACAAAATGCTGAAGACGAGAACTTCAACTATCTTATTATTTTACAGCTGCTTGTGGCTTTATATCATATGCACATGCACATTTTTATTCTGTCCTTCCTTTAATATATTACCCCATATTCTTGAAAAACCATCAGGTCAAAGACTGAATCTCCAGAATACTTCATATCCAGCAGACAATGAAACTGATAGGATTTAGAAAACTTAGGCAAGACTGAAGGAATCTAGCAGTCACCCTTTCCTTCTGCCATCCACCCAAAAGCTGTTCTCGTCATAAGAGTGTGATTGTTAAGGACCTGAGAAAGAGTTTCCCGACAGCAACCAATACACCAAATAAGTCCCTTGCAATAACAGCAGGTTCATCTTTTATCTTAAAAGCAAGATATATTTTTTGTTCTCTTGTCCTCAATTCACGTAACTTTTGTTTTAGTAAAATGTCTGCCACCCAGTTACACTCATTAGCTCATGCTTCAATTTTCGTTCTTACATGCCTCGTGCCCATGAGAGCATAGGGAAAGAGGGTGCCTCCTACCAGAAGGGCAGGAGCTTAGGTTAGGCAACCAGGCAGCCTTCCTCCTACACATCACTTCCCACAGAGCAAACAATGGATTAGAAGCTCATCTCTACCATCAAGTTGCACACATTCCCACACCTGTAAGAAAGCACATCTCAGACATGGATGATCATTTCAGACAGGCTTGTAGTGTGGCTTTGTATGAAAGCAAATGCTTCTTCCATTTCCACCAATGCTCTTTTTTTTTTTTTTTCCCTTAAAAAAGATATTAAATGTGTTCCACACAAATAATTACTCCTTCCACAATATCTGTTGCCATATGGGGGTCTCTCAGCCACCTTGTAGTTCTTCCCCTGACCCTCATCTACCTCATCTTTGCTAGTTATTTCCCATGGGATGCACGTAAAATGCTTTTCTGAAATCAGGGCACATATCTCTACCACATTTTGTTTAGAAAATGCGTTCTCATTAAACATAAGCACTAAGGTAGTCTGGCAAATCTACCTTTGATATATTTGAGGTATTTTATTCCATTTTCCTTTTATCGCACAACTTCAAATATTCTCTTTTAAAATCGTACAGAAACCTTAAATACAGCAAGATCAAACTAACAGCTCTGAGCTGTCCTGATGGTCTTCCTTAGATATAGTTACTACATTTTGTTTCCCCCACCTCAGTTCTATAGCTACACCATTAAACAAAGAGGATAGTTCCTTTGCTGCCTTTTTCATATATTCAGCGCATAAGCTACTGTATCAATTTGGTGCATTAAAATCCTTAAATGTAGTTCCCCCTTTGGTAAAGCATTCCTCATATCAAGAAGCTTTCTCACTTGACTTCCATTTTCAATATAGTCACTTTTACACTAAAGGGTTCCTTTAGTTTTTGAATTCAATGTGCACCCTCATAAGGGCCTTTTTTTTCCCCCCCTTATTCTCTTTTTAGTAATAAGACTTTAAAAAAAAATATATCATTAATTACTAGGTTAACATTATTCACAAAACTCAAGTCAGCTAATTCTGGCAATGTAGTACGATTTAGATTTTTAGATGCAAAACTATTCTCTAATAAATTTGCTCCTTATTTCCAGTTATAACCAACATTTTCCCCCACTGTTTTCCCTCCACCCCCTTCATTTTAGCTACAATTAGTAAACTAAGTCTCCAGTTCTCCTACTAGCACTTCTCCATACAGCATATCTTTCAGTGATGATAAATCCCATGGAGCTTCTAGCAAAAGAAAGACTTGATACCTCAGCACAGATTATTTCAAGACAGGCTCTATGCATTTGTTCCCACTACATGATTTCTAGTATATGTTTTGGTAGATCTCAAAGCAATTTGCAAGGAATGTTAGTCTGGCTGTGCGTATTTCACTAAAACAGAAATTACAGTGACCTGTTGAAGTTTGGATAGCAGATAAGTAACAGAGCCAGGAATATGTTGAAAATGTTTCCCACATTTGCAAGTTTCAACCATCCAATATTGCCTGGTAAATTATTTTTAAATGATGCTGTCATGAAATAATTTGCTAAACAAATGTATATAAGAGTTTATTCATTTTGAATCATTATTAAGTACAAATATACGTGGATATCTTCCTATACAGATTAAAAACTTTTTTTTTTAAATGGATCATGCTAAGCAGTGAGCTATCATGGTCTCCAATGTGCATTATGATACATAGCACAGAATCCTACAAGAGCAAATCCTGTGACGCTTACATTGTTCACTTAGAAATAACATTATTATTATAGTAATTCAAAAATATGTTGACGTTTACCATGACATTTATTGTTAAGAAGCTGGTATATTAAATTCTGATTGCATTTCATAAAAAGAGTGAAATTTTATCATGTCGTCTCCATAGGAGACAAAATGGGAGAACAGTCTAGGACACTGTCATAAAACTTGATAGCTTTTTGATGCTGCAAAGGTTTTGCTTCAGGAAGACTTCCTCTGAACTCTTTGGTGTACTCCTGACTCAGATCATTGTATCTGAAAGGAGGATGGAAAGAGTAATAGTTTGAAACAAACAAGCAAAAAACCAACCAAACAAAAAGCAATAATCTTTTCTGGGATTGATTTTGTCCATTGCCTTATTAGGTATCTTGAAAGCTATAGTGTCTTTCCAAGTCCTGATTTTCTAGCAACCAAAAAAAAAAAAAAGAAAAAAGAAAAAAAGGAAAAAAAAGATAAGGACTCTCCTAGAAACTTTCAGGATTTAAGAATGAGAAGTATCAAATTGGATGTAGGTATAAGTAGCAGTTTTCATAGATTTGAGGCAGTATTAACAAATTTAAAAAAGCAGGAATTAATGTATAGGATGATGCACAAAGTACTCAGTGTTTTGGAACCACGATTTTCTCAGAGTAATTGAAATAAGGTTTTTCTAATTCAGAGAGAGGAAAAAAAAACAGCCTTCAGAACTCTTAGTTATGATGTTGGCCAACAGCGTTCAATTTTCTTCTTGCAACTCCTTCATCCACTCTCCTGTGACTGAGATTTACGCTCTTGGAGACGATAGCAATTGAGTTAATTCCATGCAGTGGAATTCATTCCATGGCTAAAATCTTGGTGCTATAGTCTTAATTCCTTATCAGCAAATTTATGGACTTCTGCAAATTCAGTGTTTTATATTAATAAATTTCCTTAAATATTTAAGGCTAGTTACACTTTTTTTTTTTTCTTTGCTTGTTTTTAAATCTTCCTACTGTGCAATATCTCTTTTCAAGGCAGAATAAAAATATTGAAGTTTGGAACTTGAATGATAATGTCAATCTATCACTGCCGATTCTTCATTATATACTAGCATATAAGCTGTGCAAGAATTTCTTTCCATATATGCAAATGAAACAAAATTTCATTTCTCCCATGTACCTGTGTGCAATGGTCCAGAATCCCAGGGTGTTTGCCATCATTAAGGAAGCCAAGAAGAAGAAGAATCTCTCTAATTTACCTTCATGCAACAAGTGTGGAAACCAGTTGCCTGGTAGAGCAAATATTTAAATCAGAATTAGTTTATCTTGGAGGTTCACATGAAAGACATGGAGATAAATTTTTGCAAGACAACAACAGCAGGTGCTGTGAACATCCACAGCTATTCATATGGACTTCTTTATTATCCTGTGCACATAAGCAGATGAATGTCAAAAGCGTAAATTTTAGGAAGACCTAGAATTAATGTCACCCACAGAAATCCTTTTTCACTCCTCCTCATGCTTGTATTAGTCAAAAAAAAAAAAAAAAACATCACAGTCCCTTGAATGATACTCAATTACCAAGATGCTACCTTGATTATTTTACCTTTGTTAACCATGAGTCTGCAACAAATTATTACTGCATTCCTTTTCAAGAATCACAGACATTTTGCTACCAAGGCTTTTGCCAAGATAGCATCCAAGACATTTTGGCAGCTGAAACTCCACTAAGTGGAGGACATTGCCACCCATTTATAATCAGAATCTTTCATGTGTATATTCCTATGTGCTTCACGTTGCTACTACGCTGCTTGTGGTGTTGACCATTGCAAACCTTCTATAAATGATATAAAAATAGATGATAAATAACTATGGAAATCAAGATTCTTAACAGAAAAGCAAGTCCCCAGTATCTCTGCATCTGAAGATTCAGTACTTTAAGTACCATAAACTACTACAGCAAATAAATAAAACCAAGAGGAAAAAGAAATTAATCTAGAGTATACTGTGATGTTTTGAGGGAGAGACAAGCTCCTATATTATTTGAGAACACAGGCTGTGTATTGACTTGAAGACAGAAAGACAGTCTACGCAGCAAAGCAGTGAAGTGTAAGTATGCAGCATGAAAAGGATGGTGCTGAGAATCCAGTACCCACACTAAAATGGTACTGAAAGGAGTTTGCATCAGATTAGTTCCCATTAACGGCTGGAACACATCCATCACAGACTTTTTTTTTTGTTTGGTCGAATCGAATGTACTTTTTGTGCACAATGATTACAATTTGACACAAACCAATATACAAATATTCAGAGATGTTCAGGAGGTTCAATTCCAAAGCACACTTCTGGTGTGAACTAAGATATTACTGTAGATGAACCCCAAAGCACTTCTCTTTGCTCTCTCAGACTTCAGCATCAAATCCTCCCCCTTCCGAATACAGTAACTACTCACCATTTGGATGGGCTGAAAAGGGTAAGAAAAATAGCCTTTTTTGGCAAGCCTATATGGTACAAACCGCAGCACAAAGGCTGTATAGTCTTAACCGATCATTAATTGACCACAAGTGCCATCCATTGCTATTCTTAGATTTTTAACATTTTCCTAATTAGATCTAGAGAGAAAAAACAATTTCACAGCTCGGGAGGGCCTCCAGTCAAAGGATTACCCTCAAGATATTTATATTTTTATTTTTCCCTCCACATCTCAGAGTTGTAAATACATTTCTGCTCAAAGTGTTACCTTTAGCTCTCATGGGATTAACAGGGAACAACTGCCATCAGCGCAGTAGTTTTCCTGAACTCCTCCACAGTTTGTTCCATGCCGTGTTACCTTTCTGCCTGTCACTGAATGGCACCACTTCACCTCTGCATGTGCCATTCCTTTGGCAGCATTATCTCAAAGCGGGTCTTAAAACGTATCATTTAACGTTGTCAGTTGACTGAGCTCCTAGGTACTATAACTTCATTTTAGTAGCTTATAAACTTTTACTGTCATAATTCACAATCAGGTAGTTTTTCATTTTACATCCCCCAGTGGCCAATAGAACACAAGGAGAGAGAAGGAGTTTATCTGATGAAAGCAAAAGCAAGCATGGGGCTCTCTGCTACAGCTTGTCAAAGCAGAGTTCACACTGTCTGTCGGATTATTTACATCGGCTGGTCTAACTATATGAGCAGCAGGAGTTTCATAATGGAACTCCGTTTACAATGGGATCTGAACAGAAAATATGTACTTTAAATAGGATAGAGCTGTAAAAAAAAGAAAAAAAAACACTAAGAGCTTCTAAGAGAAGAGAGTAAAACAGACCTTTGAAACTGGCTTACTGTGAAGCCAGACACCGTACTCAAGCATTGAAAACGGGAATTGTTGATTTTATCAAGGTGAAATGCCAACCTGGGAATCCAGAGAGTAGCCTCTACTCCCTACTTATATCATCAGCCTCTTCCATGATCTAGGTCAAAGATCATTGTTCTGCTTCCTCTTTCTCTCTCTCTTTTTTATTTTTTTTTAAATGGTCAGTATTTAAACATTAAAATCAAGACAATCACATGAGGTCTATTAAAAATTTGGTGTTACAGTAAGCAATACAGCAAATGCATAGGCAGCAGCAAAGATATATTTGAGACAGAATTAGAGTGAACACTGTAAGATTCCAGTTTTATATCTAGATAGTTGCCCTAGTGAAAGCAAAAGGCAGAAATAGAACTTTTTTCATCCTTCTATAAGGGATAACGATGTGAGGTGGGTGCTCCCTTCTCTACAGACACAAGGGTGATGGCAGTGCTGAAGATATCCAGATCCTTCTCCTATTGACAAAAATACATTGCCATGAATGGGTATAGCAAAGATTAATTCAAGCATTTCCTAGTTTTGAAAAGCAAACAAATAAACAAAAACCCCAAACTCAGTTCTTGCTTTGTTGTTGTTGTTGTTGTTTTGTTTTAAAGGAATTTTCTATGGAAGTGGGAACAGCATGAACTATGTTTTCTTCTATTTCCATTTTTGACACAGGGAATTCTCTACTGGATTGAGGTTTACAGGACAGCAGCCACTAGTGACTGCAACCAAATTTCAACCACAGGTTTCAGGCAGTGAAACTCTCTTTGGACACTTTAATCCCTTATCCCACTAAAAGGCAAACTGACTGCAGACTCCAGCATCTTCAGGTTTGGTTTATATTTTCAGGTTTTAACTCTCACTCATGAATACACAAGGAAGTTATCAGGTCATTTTGGTTTTGATGGAATAAGATGCCCTGGGCACTACTGTTTTGATGAGTTCAGAACTTTCTCATCCTTTAATCAGCATGCAATATGCTAACAATTCAGTTTTCCCCAAAAGACACTGCCTTTGGGTTCTGTCAATCCTTTCCTTTTCTATGGAGATTGCCAACGGAAGTGCCAATTACAAGGTTGGTTTGTCACACAGATAATTGCTCACTGGGAATTAATTTTCTAAAACAAGCTCCTGATTTCCATTTTTACTCCAACAATGGAAATACTGCATGAATCACCACAGGGAATCGGAAGTTTCCTTTAGCTGTGTACATTTTAAAGAACTTTTAGAAAGCCTTTTTGGTTAGAGGTGAATTGGCTGTGCTTTTCATGGCAAATTTAGAACTGATCGGGAGACAAAGACCAGGAACGTTACAGGTCTTCCTCCAGCTTGCTGCCACACATTGCCAAAACAAGGCATTGAGTGAACTTCTGCTGGCATTCTGCAGCCCTATCAAAGATGCTCAGGAAGTATCAGAAGGAGAAGTATTATAAAGTGTCCGGAAAAACCACCTGAGCCTACAAACACAGGCAGAAGGACAGGTGAAGCAATGATGCACGCATAGATACAGGCACTTTCCCTGTAGGATGATTAACAATGACAAAATATATTGACATTGTCCATTATCAGAGGTGTGGAAAGGACTGTAAACCTATGTTTGTACATACAGCAGTGCACAGAAGGTATCTATTACTGCAATGACATTCTTCAGGTTCTCAAGAGATTCAAAATGAAGCCCAAAGTTGCACAGGTAAGTATTCAGTTTGTTTACTGTTTCCTAGATAATACCATAATATTTTACTTTGAAAAAAATAGATGTGTACAGGAAGAACATTCACGCAAATAAGCTTACTTGTATAACCTCACATTTTATAGCTAACGTGCAACTACAGGCCATAATTAGAAAAAAAATACAATTCAGGCCTTAGAAAAGGATTGCATCTCTTTCAGTCTCTTCAAGTTAAGGAATATAAAAGTATTAAATCATCTCCAAATTAAAAGTCTCTATCCGCCTTTAATCCTTATTAGCTACCTAGGCACTGGTGGACACTACCATCTGGACTGCAAGAAATACCCTTTAGCTTTATCATCTTTGGTGTTTAAAAATCACACAAGGCTCTAAATTGGAGGGAAGAGAAAAAAAATTAAAAAAAATCCACCACCATCACCACACACACCACCAGCTCCCAGAAAAATAAGCACGGAAACCTCATCCGGGACAATTTTCATCCTCTAATTTTCTTCCCTCCCTTCTTATATATTTACATTAATATTTTTAGAGAAACATATTCTGAAATGATTGACATAGGAGGACAGGTTTTGCCTTGCGTCTTCTTCAGTTAAAATGTTAGGAGAGGTAAAAACTAAAAGAAAGCAGTTTCCCAGCTTGTACTGAAAATATCACTGTCACCCATCATCTGTTTGCACTCATCAGATTTCAAAAAAGTCTTATTTTATCATATTCACACCATCCTCCATAGATGCGTTAGGAGTGATTAATGCAGCTTAGACTGTGACTGATATCTGATTAACTTTGCCAATATTTTTTTTTTTTTTAAAAAAGCTAGTGACAAGAAACAGGATATAAAGTGGTTTAAATAATTTTATCAACACCCTCAGTGCTTCAGTACTTCACAACACACATTGGAGGGTGTACTTTACTGCATCCTGAATTATTTCAGGATAACTATGGTTACATTACATAGAGATGGCAGAATCAGAAATAGTCTTAGCTTAAGTTCTGGACAAACAAAAATCACAGAAGAAGTCAAAAGCACCACAGCCAGACAGTCACACACTGAGTCTTATTATATTTCCCCAAACCATTGCTTTAGTATTCTTATTTCGGCAAAACCAAAGGTGCTTTGATCATCAGAGCTAATTAAAGAGAATCTGACTTTTAAGGGAGAGGCTAAAAACAAAACAAACAAAAAAGCAAAAAAGAGAAGTTTCTCCCACAAACAGTTAAAGCTGATTTGCTTTCCCCCCAGTTCCATAAATTGTTTGAATATCAAGTGCTTTACAAGCTCCTTAAATAAAGTTGAAAAAGAAACAAACAGGAGTGATGACAGCTTAATTTGAGTCATTACCTAAGAGGTGTCACCATTCTATTCTCTGAAGCACTGTCATTTTCAGAAAGTTCCATAGGTAACCACGAGGTTTTATCAGTTAAAAAAGTATTATGCTGCTAAATTTTTCCCCTCACAACACAAAAATATCATAAGAAGCATAGCTGAAAATTTGGAAAAAATACAGTATTTTGTACAACCTAGAGAAAGAACAAGGGAACACAGTAGTAACTATACACTTAGCAACACAGAATAAGAGAATTTTGCATAAAATGTTTCCTTTCAAATGAAGCAATACTAAAAGAAACAACACATTCTACAAAAAGCCCTTATTTATAAGCTATGCACTCTGTCAATTGCAGTAACTTGTAATAATTGATCTATTTCCAGCAGCAAAAACTGGAAAAGAAAAACGCAGTAGAAAAAAAAAAGTATGAGACCAAATAATGCTGTTTATATGGAAATCCAGAAAGTAATATCTAAGGGTTCTACCTAGAGAAATATTTTGTTTATTTGGTTTTGTGTTTTTTGTGCACTACATTTTCACTAGCGCTTTTCAAGCTTCGCATAGAAGGTCTTCCTCATAAAATCCTTACTCAGGCCAATCAAAAAATTCAGCCTGTCACTTTCAAATTTGCCATCCTTCCAGAGCAGGAGTCACTGCTACAGTGTGGCCAGCAACGTGCACTGGACTGACAGTTCTGCTGATGTAAGGAAAGATAAATTAAATCTTTTTTTCCAAACTACATAGAAAACTTTGCCATATAGTCCCTTGCAAAAAAAAAAAAAAAAAATACTTCAACAGAAAAACTTTTAAGCAAAATGGGAGAGAACAGGGCAAGATTTGTTTAGATTTTGGGAGTCTGGATTTAAATTTCTTGTCATACTTTCCATACTTTTCATATATTTTCACTTTCTCTGTTTTTCTTTATAAAAGCAGCATGCAGAAGAACTGATAAGCTGTGAACATTTCTAAATTCCTGCAGCAATTGTAATTGCAGCTGTCTTGCATTACAGCCAGCAGCTCTGCTCTATAAGACTGGTCTCTCTGAAAAACAGTAACGATAAAGTTTATGAATGTCAAGCATATTTAGGAGGATGGCCTCAGCTATGTTTTATGTATGTAAACATCAAGATTCTTCTCCTTTGCTTAAAGGACTCCAGTGCTTTTTTTTTTTTTTAATTTACTTAAACATACCCTTTACATATTGGACAAATAATCATTATCAGAGAAAATAAATAAATAAAAATGTTAAAAAGAGGAAAATCAGACCAACCTCCCTTCAAAGTTACCTTGCTAGTAACTGGAAATTGGTCTCAGGGAACTTGCTGACTTGAAAAATGTTTTTTCATATTGAGTCTGTTGAGGAGCACGTTATATAAGTTAACAAGTTCCCTGAGAACTGCAGTATTTTTCTGGAAAGAGTAAAGATACAGTACAGCTACGCTGTCTCAGAATCTGAGCATAGGATTTTCCTCGGCAAAGAGGAAAAAAAGACAAAGAGAAGGAGAAAGAAGGAGGTCTAGAAGAACAAACCTCTTTGACAGCTTTGAAACTCTCAATCCAACCTCCTCTCCCTTTAGACAACAAAGAATACATTTTCCTTCTATTTCATTCTTTAATACGCTAATCTTGCTCTCACACCCAGAGAATTTCATATAAATGTGCACAAGGCATGCACATTAGATATTTCAGTGGGCAAAAGGTACTTCTTGTCTTTCAGAAAAGTACAGAGATTGGAGGTGAGGCATTGGGCTTTCTTACAACAGGCCTTTTTCCAATTACTCCAACTATCAAAAATAAGAGAACTCATTAAAACTGGATGAATGCAGTTGTAAGTCTATCTCCTATCTTATTTCTATCTTCACTGTGAAAGCAAATCAATAAAACTTTGGCATTCCCTCTTATTCTGCTGCATTCTTCTCCAAAACAATAATCAATAGAAACCTGCTCAGGAACACAGCTCATGGGCACCCTCTTACCTCGACTTCCTGTATGGACAGTCTGGACAATGAAAGCTCCTATAAAGCAGCCAGCTCCATTGAAGAGAGTTAAAAAATGCATAGAAATCCCTCGAATTCTTTCTGGCACAAGCCGGAATGACAGCAAGGAACCTTAGGAAAGAAACAGGTATAGTCCGATTATTATTACTTCTTTTAAAGTTAGGGTTGACAGAAGACATTATAGAGAAGAGCCCCATGTTTTAAATATATAATCTACTTGCTGCAGAAGGATAATTATACTTGTTAGCATGCACCTTGTTAACAACAAATCCTCTAAACTATTTAAATTAAACTCAATAAAAATAAAGCCTACATTAAACCAGTAAAAGTCCATAAGTCTGTAATATCCAGGCAGTTGTTTTCACCTTTTAAAACCTCAGGCATGACAAGACAAGAAAGAGGTAGTAGATATAAGGTGTGAACAAAGCGGATACGATGCTTAACAACTGCAGGACAGTCGGACCTCTTATGACAAATTCTGTGCATCAAGGTCACTGATGACTGCTTCTGAAATTCAGAACACTGTCTTAATCTGTTTCCATCTGAACAATCTTCCTCAAAAGTAACCTTCAAAAATCACTACCTAATACACTTAATACTGAAGACTGTTTGTCATCCACTTCCTTGCCAGAAGACTAAACCAGAAAAAGCAAGAACACAGGAAAAAACAGAAATGAAGCTATGCTTATAGCACTAATAAGTATAATTCTACTAGTTGTAATGTTACTAACCTACATACTGTTTTTTTTTTTTTTGTACTTTAGTTTCTCAAGTTATCAAAATCTGCCTTTCCTAATCTTGTATCTTTAGCTCTCCTCCACATGAGTTCTCCAAGCTGCAGCATCCCCCAGTCTACAGAGTTTGAATGATCTCCATGCTGAGAAACTTTTCAGTAGAGAATCCCAGTGGAATACCGACTGCATGAAGTCAATATTGACTGTATACAAGTCAAAGTCTGCAACAATCATCTCCCACTCTTTAACTTGGAGGTCCAAGTGAGGACTTTGGAATCGTAATAAAGAAATAAGAAAAAAAAGTCATAGTCAGTGATTTGTCCCTCATTCACTGTAGGAACTGAGAGCCAGGCAGTGATAGAAAGGAAAATAACTCATTGTACACGTAACAGCATAGCCTGAAGAACTGCAAAGTCTGAAGCGTTGTACAGATCGTGCCCTACCCCCACTGAATCACTAGGGACTCTAAGAAAAAAATGTGTTTGTGGTTATTTCCACCACTCTCCTCCCCTAAAAACAGGGATGCAAAGCATGCACGTTGACCAAATGCAGCCTAGGTAATTGCATCCTACTTACCTAAATTACCTCTGCTGTTTCAACTGCATACTCCGTCACTTATCCCAAATTGCTGACGTGATCTATTAAACACCTGCTGAATTTCACCCTGGAGACTACTGCATTTCACTGGTGGGTGAACTGATCCCCAATATATCCTTTAGCTAACAGAGCTGTTTGTTACAAGGCTTCTCATTTCTAAGTGCTCCGAGACATTTTGATATGCCGAGAACATCCTTGCAATGCCTTAACAGACACTGCAAATCTGCTAACCCTTTCTAGGGCAAAGCAGTGACACTGTATCAGGTCACTTGTTCACCAGCAGTGAAACAAACCTGCTGGGGTTGGTGGGCTGGCTTCCCTTCACCCACACATTCATGCATTGCAGGCGCATATGTCTGCTAATATTATCCCACTGAAAAAAAATCTGTAAGCACTAGGCTTTTAAGGAGTAATTTCCTACTTTAAAGCAAGCTGGAGTTCAAGCTGTCAAAGACCTGTGCATTCTAATATTGATGTTAGTTCTATAGTCTCCATTGCAACATTGTGGGTAGAGAAGTTATTTTATATATATATATTTTTTAAACAATGCTTTGTTCAGTGCCCGAGGAATGTTAAATGCTGCTGTTAATTATTTTGAGAGGTTTCTACCACCTGAAGCAGGTGATTTTATAAAAACTCTAGTAAAGATGCAATGAAATATACTGTATAAATACACCTATAAGTATCAGGGCTTAAATGTAGATAAAGAGTTTGATAGGCCAAATGCAGCTCTTCTAACCAAGCAGTGCAGAAATGAGATTGTCCCTCTTCCACCTAACATGTTAAGATTTCTGTCTTAAACTCACATTGTGTATTTTCTGGTCAAGTAAAATAGTATGATAGTTTAACTTCACCTTCTACATAACACAGACAGTAGAACGTCAACAAGTTGAAACAACTGTTTAGCTATCTAAATGTTTAGGTTTAAATATGTAAGTCATAGATGATAAAGTTCCATTGAACCCTTTTTGATCAGCAATTCAGTTCATTTCTGAAGTGGAAACCTAGAGTTGTGTTCAGCAGTGTAAAAACAGATGTCTAGTATTGCTCAAAATGCTTTAGGGCATCTATATTGACCAACAGAATGCAGGACCTATGGGAAAACCACCCTCTTCTAGAGCAGCAGTCAGAAGCCAAGTAGGTACCTTGCAGAGCCTTGAGTGACCTCGCTGCCTTCCACAGAGGGGCATATGACTTAGATAATCCAACGCAAAAGGTGTCAGACACCAAATGTGGGAGAACAGAGACCCAGATCTCCATCAAATATTGCAGAAACGGGTGCTTTTTTATAGCTACTTTTAGTTCTTTACATGCAAATAATACTTAGGCTTATCCCTACCTCCCTGGGTTCCTAGATGCCTGTTAGTACAGCTCTCAAGACATTTAGAAGAGCGTCTTCTCCATTATTTGACACATTAAAATAATGACTTTCTCAGGTATTCTAATTATAATGCTTCCTCAAGCAAACAAACACAAAGCTGAGCTTTGTTTCTTTTCTAAAGGCTAATTTCATCTTCCAGTCAGCAAACTTCCATCACGTCTCAGAGTGCTAAATTACAGAGCCTCATTCTATCAGATATATTCTTCTCATGCAGAAGTTTAAGAAGACTATAAGAAAGCCACTTCTTAATCTTTTTCTTTTTTTGTTGCTGTTTTTTGTTAAGGTAAACAGATATGGTCACAGCTTTCTGTTACCCTTGGCCAGTAACCTAGAAACCACATAACCTGCCTAGAAACCTGGCTCAGTTAAGTACTTGAGAGCTATTGTATGAAGAGGCATTATGAAGTGCTAAGTATTTAAAACTAGGGAAAATTACCTTTTTCGTGACAGACCATGACCAACAGCTCTTAGTAGTCTTAGACTGTAAGTATGAAAGTCGAGACACTGAAGTTATTTCCAGCTCTTAAATAAATACCTGAACAATCCTGGAGTTGTACTGAAACAACAGACATCCAACCTATGAAATGAAGTGCCAGTAGAGATCAGCTAGTCAGTTACTTTACCCCTTTCTTTAAATGAATATTGATTTGATTATTTTTCTAATACTAATATTTTTTAAGGTCTAACAGGTAAAAATGCAGGTAAACACATTGGGTACACCCCATCAGAAAGTCTCCTGCCAGTACAGAAGGGAAAAGGTAATTTATAGGAGGGACAGAAGGTTCAGAATCACATTCAAGAATGTGCCTACATAGCTTACGGATGGCAGATATGAGGTGCTGGTGCTCTGAGAAATAGGGCTTTTTTGTCCAGCTCCATGACATAAGCAAAGGCATAAATGTTCTGTTGCTCACTGACTCCTGATTAAGGCACAACCTGCTTGCAATATTCTTTAAATTAACATGTCAGTTGGATTGTTAACTGTATGTGTATATTTTAAGTCATTAATAAACATGCTGTAATTCTATTCAGCTGGACTCAACATAAAGAGGATTAAGCTAAAATGCCTCATCATGCTTTGGTTATGGCCTATAGAAGTGTGCAATGCCTGCAACTGTCACATTTGTGTTTTGTCTCAAGAAAAAAATCATCATAGACTTGTAGAAAAGATCAGGTTAGAAGGGGCCTCAGATGGCAGTGGACCTTGGGTCCATCAGGTCCAGCCTCCTGCAGGAAGCAAGTTCAGCATTAACTGTTGCCAGCCATGCATCTGTGCCCAGAACTTCACTGGTCTGATTATCTCTTCTGCTGAATGGTGGATTACCAGGGCATACAACCAGGCTGTTTCATGTTCTACATAATTTTGGACATCACTGTCACCATATATTACAGCCAGTAAGACCTGCTCCTTTAGAGCAGGTGAAGCATAGATCTGCTCATTAATCGGTAAAGAGCCGAAGATAAGACATCAGATATGTATTATTGGAAAGTTGATACTGTTCCCTGACCGTTAGGATGCTTTCACTTTAGTCTGTTAAATTTTACTTACAGCAGGGAGTTACCAAGGCTTCAGCCACTCCAAGTAAAATGTACTGAGGAGCTAAGTGGAAACAAGGCATGGAGGAGACCAGGAGAACCTCCTTGGAAAGAGTCTGTTCCACCTGAGGAAAACGCTTCCTGTGCATTTCAGAGAAGCCGGCAACCATCACGGAAAGTGCAGCACATAACTGACCTGCAACTGGAGAGAGGGCAGAGACAGTGTTCATCAAGGTTGTAGTTGATGTAAAATTACAATAAATTTAGAAGAAAAAGCAGAATTTCAGTACATGTGAAAAATGCATCATATCAAAATGCATCATTTCTACACATATAAAAATGGATAAAAGGTACTTTCTACCCCGTAAACTTAACCCTATATAATACAATGGCAAACAGAGACCAGCTCAGCACAAGAAAAATTTAGGGATAAAGAATCTATGAGAAAGAAGTTTTTTAGAAGAAAGTTGTAAATAAGAACTTCTGGAGAAGAATGGGGAAACATGAGGAGGAAGACAAAAGATGATAGCTCTTGGAGGAGATCAGGTAGTAGTGACTGCTGAGGCCAGTAGCAAACACTCCTATACAAAGTCAATATGATTCTGGATTACACACATGCTTTATGCTCTCCTTGCTTGTTTTCTGTGCAAGGAAAAACATGCGACCCAGCAACAACCACTGTACATGCATTTAACATTTCTTATGAATCAGATGACATCAGTAACTTTATCATTAAGGCTGCACTGAGCAAAAGCTGAATATTTAATCTAGTCATGATTAGGCTGCAACAGTAAAGCAATGATCAGTCTTTACCTACTGAATTGAGGAATGAGGATTTTTCTGGACTGGATTTTTTCGAGAGGAGAAAAAAAACAAGTTTAAATAGTTTAAATTCCTCAGTCTCAGACAGCGTGCCAGACTGGTGTACAGTTACTGCTCAGTGCAAGTCCTACCCTAGTGCAAGTAAATAATAATAGAAAAACAGTTCTTTGGATTCCTAGAAATTAGACAACAACCATTCACCAGGTGAAGAAGCCAAGGTAGCCGACATCTGTATTTTTAAAGCTTCAGACATGAGAAAGAGAGTTCACTACTTAACATAAAACCTTAGTAGATGAATCCTTCCTCTGTTTTTCCTTTCCCCTCTACTATAGAATAATCTTGACCTACTTTTGAAAGTTCACTTGCTAGATGGTAGCATTTGCTAGTTTGTTTAACACTTTAGGATTAAATGAGTAGCATTACTAGAAGAGATAATCTTCTACTTAAATAATTTTTGTGATATTGAAATAGGATTCTTGTTAAAAGACAGACCTTAATTTTCTTCTCACTTCCTTATGAGGGAGAAATGGCATAAAAGCCATGCTGTAGACTTTAGAAATTTGCAGGTACGCTTTTGTGTGCTTCATATAAGCCACTGGATGATTACAATTGGGTTTGACTAGGTTGTGATTCCTCAGCATTTCTAAACTATGCCGTATAATGCACAGGGACAACAACACGTATGTAAGTACAGATGTGGTTTGTTTTTACACCTTTGGCTAAAATACTTGGACTGTGCATGGTTTTCTCCTTGTCTTAAGCAGCCTTATCTTACTTCATGACTAATAGATGATTTACTTATTAGATGCGACACAGTCAAAGGGTTTCAACATACACACACACATACACACTCCTATACACCAACCTGTCACAACAGAACTGAATTTATGCAGATACCATAGACAACAGCTGGAAAATATGACCTATCTTTGTGCTATCAGGACATCTTCCCCTATCAGAAACCTAGAGCACTCCTTGTTTCTGGCTACTTGCCCAGCAGAAAATTTGTTTTATGCTCCATTTTACACCCCTTACTGCCTGATTCAGCTGTAGGCAATAAATAGGAACATACACATATAATGTACCCATTATACTCTAATTAAAAGAATTTCTTTTTAGCTTTACTTGGACTGATTTTCTTGTGTTCCCACTAAGGTCTTTCCAGAAATGTTTTGCTCTGACCATTAAAAACCTTCTACTTTCTTTGTATTAAGGTATTCAGAGTATACCCATTACTACGCATCAGCATCACTGTTGGGTTAGAGAAGTTCTTAGCTTTCTGCTATGTAACCTTGAAGGTATTCATAAGCAACAAGTACAACCTTTCTGAGCCTCTACTTTGTTGTCCTAAGTAAACCAAATTTTCCCTCACAAGATAAGTTTTCTTGTGTGCATCCAATGACATCTGAGCCCTTCTGATCATGAATGGAAACGTGGGCACAGCTTGTTAGAGTTTACCAGTTCCTCAAGAAATTATGTTTATATTCATTATTGTGGCTGAAAATACCTTATTTAATATATGCTGTTTGATCATATTTTTCCTTGATAGTCAAAGTAATTACTAATGTGTCATACAAATAGTTTTCTTTCCTTTCGTCTCATTTCCAGCAGATGAAGCCCATAGTTCCCGTAACAGAAATTATGTAAGACTTCCCACTTTGTACTCTTAACATTTCATCTATTTCTTTTTGCTTTCTTTTTTCTTCCCCATTTTTCTTAACCCATCCACCTTCAGTCAGCCATTTCTATTTGCTACTCAGAGAACATTTGCATCCTCACTTACCTCACACTCCTAAATTAATCACTCTTTTCATTTATAACTTCAGTAAAAATAATCTCTTCCCATAACTAGCTCTCCATGCTGTCACACAAGCACAAATGATGGTTGAAGGGAAGAGATGAAAGGTACAGCTGTAGGGAGAGCAAAGCTGAAACAGCCCAGGCTTCAGTGGTATCAAACTGTCAGACAAACATCACACCTTGTATACAAATAAGTCAACAATTATTGAAGTACCAATATAGATGACAGATTTCATGGAAATCTTTACTACAGAGTGATCATACTTACTATAGTTCAGCATGGTCTATATGGCTCATCTTTGAAAACTGATATTCTTTACACACTGAAAATTACCAGAGAATTATTGAAACTTCTTCCTATTACAAGACTTGCATTAAAATATAGCTAGAGGGCTGGCTTAATACCAACAACCTATTTATACCTTCATTTTTGTTCCTGAATATAATTGTGAACCTAATTAACTGTTGGCAAAAATATTGGTACTTACAGGTCTACCATATTTGCAGGTGCAGTTATACACTTGTATATCTAAAGCCATCATCTGTACTCACTGGTATTTTTGTGCCTTAGGTGATTTATTATCCCTCACAGGAGGCTATTTTCATAAATGAACCTATTAAGAATAAACCACTGCATATATTCTACTGCTGTTCAACAGGATAGAACATTAATACCAACTTGAAATTTCCATGGTTTTAAGGCAAATTATCTGAATGTGTTTTTTTGTGTTTTAATGCAGATGTTATTTTAAAAACTAGGGTAATTGCAACCTGCTGAGTTATATGCATCTGGTTTGTATAAAACTTAATAACCCTCTTAATTAGGCTAATTTACTCAGATTAATACCTCTGTGCGTATCAGTACTTACTGTGCTGCTTGCCATGGGGCACTGAGTTAATAGCAGCACACAGAGAAAACAGTCGTTTATAAATATTTTTGTAATGCAGGCTGAATGATGCAACATATATGAAGAGTAGTTTACCGTTCTAATGGGAATAGTGCAAGGAAGTAGTTTTATAGTAATATAGACTGGAAGCTGCTTTTCTGGTGCTATTACATACGTCTGGAATCAGAAGGTGGCTGCAGAGGAACCCTGTAGATCACATAGGAGGTCTGGAAGGTTGTTGGGGAGAGTGTCAGGACCATAGGGTAGGTGATGCCAATGTACGGCCTCTAATTTCATGAGGTCAATATCTGTTAAACCCTTCATTGCTTCTAGTCTATGAATATGCCAAATAACTTGTCTCAAACCGCAAGTCTGAAATCACATGCTTACTGCCAAAGCGTTCAAGCTCATGGCAAGGAGGTACAAACTAATCTTCTCTAGGAGGAATAAATAATAGTCCAGTTTTAGAGATGCCTCTTGGTTTTATTTTGTGTAAAGTGCCTGAGCACATGTTCACTTGGAATGTTAGTAATCAAGATACTTGTCCAGGTGTTTTTTAATTTTATATTTTAATATTTTATATTAACTCAATTTAAAAATCTAATACTAGAGAAGAAACTTGCATCTCTCCAAGTAGCCTGCTGCTGCTCAGCCTGCTCACTGAGATAGATGGTCCTATGGTACACGTTTGTGCTTTACATGTAAACAACTATGTTCTCTTTTGCTTGTCCTCAGTTCTAGAAACACCTACTGCAGAGTACATCTATTTCACATGGGCAGGAGCTATAGTCTGAAATAAACTCTATTAGGGACCATACACTAATCCTTTTAAAAGCCACATCTCTAACCTAGATTTAATTACAGCATACAAATAAGAGTATGGTCTCTATCTTGAACTTAAGCATTTATGTCCAAAGTCACTATTTATAGCAACAGAACCTTTATCAGTAATCAGAGGACCACTAACTAGAGGGCTCTCCTGTCCTAAAAAAAAAGAGATTTCTGAATTAAACCAATTTTGAAAAAGTTACAAGTTAAGCAAACACATAGAAGATAACCAAGTCAGCAAATATCCCTAGTCAAAGTGGTTAGCACTGTTTCTTCTCTCACCAATTCCTCAGCATTCCTTCTAGTTATTTGTCCTGAGCATTTGTCTCAGTGTCTTTTATTGGACAGAAGCCACTCAATTTCTGTCCTCAATAAATGCCCTAGACAAATGCTGTGCATTTTTTCTTGGCATCTAATCTATTATTTCAGGACTGTCTTTCCTTTGAATTGTATCCAGCTCTGCAAATCATCCCAAAAGAAGCTCATCTTACTCTCTATAATTTAGAATAATTAAATAAATGATGGGTGACCCTATATAAGTTCCTCTTTCAAAACCAGAATACATATAAAACTATGAGAACACATGTTGTTTTACTTACCAATGTAAATTGTCAGAGAATGCCTACTTCCCTTGGAACTAAAGAGGCATGAGTTAATGCATTCCAAAATAGGAACAAGAATTAATAATGGTACTATGCTTATCACGTTCATTGCTGCAATTGGCAAGACAAATCCACTGAAGTTCAAGTTGGAATTCATGGTTTGGAGATAATATCCTGAAGGAATCTGCATTGTGGGAAAAAAAAAAAAATCTATTAGTATGCCAATTATATGTAATAGAAGAATTTTACCATATTTGGAAACTTCTCCAATTTTTCTCCTACTTTTCTATTGAAGAAGCCATGGTAAAGCAAATACCTGCTTCCCTAAAGGAAATGGCCATTTGATATAAATTCTTTTGGGTGATGACATTCTCTTGGTCCAAGATCTAACATTTTCCTTTTAATTTATTTGCTTCTCCAGTTTGTGTTAATTTAGTTGACCCCCTTAGTTAGGATTATGCATAAACACAGTAAATATTTCTGCCTAATAACATAATCATTTCTTTAAGTGTTTTGCAGATAGTGTTTAATAAAGCAGAATTACCTTTCCATTTTAGAAAAGCAAGATGCAGTGTTATTTTGCATTTCCAATTGGGTGCTCTAGACAGGAGCTACTTTTTTAAAGATGCTGTTGTGAATATGTGCTTTAAAACAAAAATGGAATGAGTATTTGGCACAGACAAAACAAGTTTAGACACAGCTAGAACCAGCTAAATGGGACTGAGAGTCTCAACAGTATATAAAGGGCCTTGTACTTCTGGAGATAGAAAGCAAAGGATAACCAGTAATCAGAACATGAGCAGCCCATGATTGGCAGTCATCAAGGTATGAAATTAAAACAGATTTCTAAGACTACATCTACCAAAAAGAAATAACACATACTACATTTATTTAATTAAAAAAAGACAAATAAAGTAGCCCTCATCACAGTAGCTTTCACTGAGACACATTGAGAAATTCTTGATGAATTAAGCATTGCAATTTTATGTGAAACAGGAAGTTTTAATACATTCCATTTTACAGACCAACAAGAAGAAAAAGAAGTAACTTGAGAAATTCACGAAAAGCAGCCATAACAGTTGGATATGAACTGATTTCTTAAGTCATATTTCTGTACATGATTTTATCTTTAAATTCTCTGGATTCCTGTACCACTCCACATATTTCTTCAATGAGAGTGGCACTGTTAAACTGAGGGAGAATCTTACTGCTTTTTAGTTGTCCAAAATAAATGACAAAATAAAAAAATGAAGTGCATTTAGAAACTCAACTCAAAGTTATGCCTTGGAGGCTGTAATTAAGACTGTTCATCAAAATCTATTCATCAAAAATCTCCTAAAAACTCTAATTTTGAGATGTTTTCACCTATATTTCACCTCCAAATGAGGATATAAATTATGATTTTATTTGTTAATTGCATATATATGCACAACCCTCTGTCGATATAATGTTTATATATATACACACACACACATATATATAACTTAGTTTTTTTTAAAAAAGTATTAGACATATTAAAGCTCCTGCTGAGGTCATCCCTTTCAGAAGCACAAATATTTCTCTCTCTTATGGATATAAACCTGAATATTACAATTCTGATTAATGGCACCTGGTTCATTTTTCGTTTCCATCTGATAATTAATGCTTACCATCAGCTACTTTTTTGGAGGGGTATGAAGGGGTGGGGAGGTCAGGAAGGAAGAAGGGATGAGGGGAAATGAGCCAGAGAGATGGAAATGTAGAAGAATGTCAAGAGGGAGTGATAATAAAGAAGTATGCTTAAGTTACCTATTCGTAATAATTTCATTAAGTAGACTTTGCACTCAGTTTAAGAACCAATAAATAAAAATGAATTTCCAAGCTAGCTAATAATTTTCTGTTATGGCAGTTGCCAAACGGTGAGCTACCTCAAACTCCTGCTCAATGAGGATCATCCAGTCAGATATGAATTTGAAGAAATCATGTCAGCTTAAGTAGGTTTTTGACACATTTACATTTATATAATATATACGAACTCAGAAGCAGAGAGAACTGCAAAGTCTGACGGAGGGGCTGTGAAAGGACTGCTTTTCTCCACAAATGGAAAACCACCCATTTCCAGTGAGGGTACACAAGCCACATAGCCCAGGCAAATCAATAGAAGGAACACACAATAAAACAGCAAAGAAAGATTTTCTACCTCTCCCCACAAGTGACTGACCATTTAAGAAAGTGGGAAATTATTATTATTTGTTCAAAAGAACACTGAGCTTGAGTTCCCAACAAGTATGACATATCAGCTTGAGCAGCCCAGGGCTCCCCGGCACTAGATGTTTCAACCAGTAGAGATTACAAGAAATGAGTATCAAACTGTCATATAAGCTCCTTCATGAGTGTTGACCAAGTCAATTTTACTTATTTGTTGAGATGAGATCACAAGGTATATTCTCAGACAATTAAAACTATTCAGCCATGTTGCTCTTGCTGATAAAACAGCTATTAAAAAGCATGCCTACAATCATAGCAGTAAACACATCACAATCATTTTCGTATTTTTCACTTAAAAACTGATTACTCACCTGCATGATACATGTTCTGTATAGAATTTGGAAAGCAAACAGTGGAAAGAGCCTGGCAAGTGATTTTGTGCTTTCCACCTGAGCCTCGCTGTACCGACCACCGTAGTTTTCCTTGGCATGATCTAACCAGTTTGTCACACCTCCACTAAGGCAGCGATATCGGACACAGCATGTTTTCAGTGCACTAGTAATTACCCCAAAAGTCGTCAGCAGGGAACTCTCTGCAAACAGAGACATTAGACATTGGTGTGTGTGTGTGTGTGTATACATACATATATATATATATTTTAACTTGCTACCAAAATTTAAATTAAATCAAAGCCAAAACAAACCACAAATTTTGAGAGAAAGCCACAACCTTCCATGATGACTTTATTTATTTTTCCCTCCCCCAAAAGGGCATAACAGTTTAGATTTACTCAAAACTATTTTTTCCGGGTGGCCAAGTGATGCCCAGCTTAGTTACACAAGCAATCCAGCTAATCTTCACAGAAAGTAGTACCTTCTGCTGCCAGTTATTTAACATACTCTGCTCAATCACAACAGCAAATTCTCAGAGAAAGTATTATTTTTTACTTTTGCTTTTTGATCACTGAATGAGGATAGTGTTTAATTCAGGACAGTCACGTGCCTGTTGAAGTCCAGGAAAGAGTGTTGAGGTGAGAAGGAAAGCAAACTCAGAAGAAGGCTCTTAAATTGGAGAAATTTAATGACTCAACCTAGAAGTCAGAAATATTACCTTGGGACTCATTTCTCACAGCACACCATTTGGAAGTTTTAAATCCAGTTTTTGGTATAAGCAAACTTGCCTACTGCCTATTGGGTTTTGGAATTGCTACCTTGGTTCTCACCATCAGACGAAATAAAAAGATAAAATGAAGATAGAAAAGGCTTAGGTGCTCATTCATAAAAATATGAGTTATTTTCCAAATGGTAGAAAACTCAAGTCAGTATTAACTCAACTGCCCAGCTCAAAGGGGGAGCAAATAATCACGTTTTAAATCAGAGAAGTGGTAATATCTCTCTCTTCCCCCCACCTCCTTTTTTTTATCATTTTTTCCCTGCAAGAGAAGCTGGACTTTCGCAAGGAAAGAATTAACAGCAGTTATGTGGTTTTATTACTACTCTGCAGTTGTTTTGAAAACTATCAGTTTTGAAATCAGTTCTTTAAGAGTTGCTCAGAATGCAACAAGATTAAACCACAAAAGACCTAAAGGTGTCGTGGATGTGTTCCGATTTATCTGACCTATGGCTTGGATATAGCCATGGCCATATTCTGTCCTTTGGAATGCAAGATGTAGGACAGACTATTTTGCTTGTTCCTAATTAAAAGAATAATAATAAACTTGACAGTTCAGTACCTTTACAAATGGATCAACTGATGCCCTCTTTCATATAATCTTCATCTATTGCCTGTAAAAATGTCATTTTATCCTAAGCAATACAGGCAGATACATCATTTATTTGTGTATCTCAGCATGGAATTCCAAGGAGATCATAAGTTATAGCACACCAGAATGAAAAGCTGCCTGAAATTAGTCTTAGAAATATCTTGGGCAATACATAGACCTAATTCATATCAAGATGATTTTGTTGATATATGATTAGAATAAATATCTAACGCTTTTTTTTTTTTTTTAAAGCAAGCTAATAAAACCCACATGGCTCCATCATTATGGACTCTTCAAATTGCAAATCTGATCAGTTAGCAAGAGACATATTTAAAAAAACATAAATATTTATATTGGGACACATTATATAGAACATCATCATATACTTTGTACTTTTATTTTTAATACTTTCTTCAAAACATTTGTCCATATAGATCGATACCTACAACTTTCGGAAAGCAATTTCTCCTTTCCTTTATACTGCAGTCCTTGGCTCTAGTGTTCTGCTATTTGACCTTGATCTAATCATGAATACCTACGCTATTTAATTATAATAAAGAAGTCTACATTGCACCCTAGATGGTAGATACGCATTTTTTCTCATCTTTGGTCACCTGCCAGTCCTCAAAATTATAGCAGTGGGAAGATGCAAATGAAGTCCATCCTTGATAGCTAAGCATAATTGAATACCTGATCCACATTTGAAGAGTTAAAGTAAAAAAGGTATCATATATAAAAATAATCTCTTTAACCTATAGGTTTGAATTACAGTTTTGAAGAATTTCCAATTTAGTCATCTCATTGAAAGTTACAAAGTGCATTATCATTTATTTTGACTAAGAAGATGAAAAACTTTGCAGAGCCTAGAGACCTGCATTCTGTGAAAACTTGGAAAACATATGTTGAAAAGAATATTAAACAGCACTCCAAGAAAACAGTGATACAAAAAGATGTTTTGCTAATTTTGTGGAATGATCACTATTCATATAAATTTGATTATTATATCTCTCTCAGTTTAATTAAACTAGTTAGATGATAAACTACTACCCATTTAGCCCATATGAAGCCATACAGCTCAGTGATAAATATGGGGGAAAGTTTTTGATTTCTTAAAAATCTGTAGTAAGCTTCCCAGAGCCAGACAATGGTGCTTCTCCACATAAACAGTTAGTCAGCCTGGTCCCCGTCTTGGGGACCTTAATCAGACATTAATATAACTTCTTGGTAATGCATGGAGGCATTTTATTTCTTTGGTTCCATTTGTTTTTGCTTGATCACTATGATATTCCCTAGGCATCTGGCTCCGGCATTCACCTCCTTACTGCTAATACATTTTTCCTTGAGTTATATTTTCAACAAAAAAATCATAATAATTAAAAAATTGCCTTCAACTTCTGGAGACTACTGGAAAAAAAAATTGTAAAGTTTAGGCACTTAGAGCCGTATGTAGATCAGCTAGGTTCAACCTACATTTCTGTGCTTGCTCAACTGAGAGAGATAATTGCCATCAAAAGGTTTTGAAGGGCTAAAGAAGGTACCAACTGATAAGATTCCAGAAGTGTAGGAACTTCTGTTTTAAAATATCTCCACAGTCCATGCAGCCAAATGCTATTCAGAATTTCTGCTTATTTTCAGCTATGTACAAATGCTTGATGTTGTATTGGCAAGTGCTCCAAACTAAACATATGCTGCAGACATTCTGCAAGATAAAGGATATTACAGAACATCTTTTTGCTAGCTTATCTATACTGGCAATTAGGTTTAATTCCCATCTTTCTTACTAAACACATTGGTTGGTAAGCTCAGGCCAAGCTCTGGAGCACATAAAGGGGAAAATACAAACGTGCTTGGTGACTTAGCATAAGTCCAAACTTTACTTCAATTGAAGTAAACACATTGCATTACATCAGGTTGAACCCAATATGCTATAATAAACACCCCCAGCAAACATGCTTATGGTACATCTTCCTACATAGGCAAATGCTTTGACTGAGGAACATGACAGAGAATATTTGGAAGCTTTTTTTTTTTTTTTTTTAAAGTCTATTTAGAACATACAGTTCTGGATCCACAGACTGTTTTGTGCAGACACCCTGTACAGCTAAACCTTCAACCAACTATCCCAACACAGAGGTTGTGTTGTGAAGAAAGAAAAAAAAAAAATCCACAAACTTCTTTAAAGGTGCAAGTTGATATATTTCATGAAAATAAAGACATTTCCCAGAAAAGTTATTGCTTCTTACCTGTTTTAGGTTTGTAAATCATTTCACCACGCACCATGTGAATTGTGATCATAGCCATTAGTACAGATACAAATGGGATAAGAAAACCAAGGTTCCGGGCCACCGATTGCTGGATATAAGAAATGCTAACAAAGACAACTGCTGAGTTTAAGTTAACCAGCCAGTAAAACCTAATACAAATAGACAAGAGAGAGAACGGTGGAGAAGTTGAAAAATATGAATTCCTTACAAGAGATATAATTTAAAACATTAAGAATTTAAAAGCATGGTCAGCAGCAGTATCATGCACACATTGACACAGCAATTAACATCAAATTTCTCTTGAATGTCTGAGCTCCAAGAGGTTTATGATTAAACTAGTGCTACTAAGGCAGTAGAGCTGAACAAATCATCAATATAGTATCAGAATATATTGCGAATTGGAACAATTAAAACTCCAATATATATAATATACACATTTAATATGTGAAAGCATAAGTTTTGCATGTTGCAATCAAATCATATACATTAAGCTTAACAGAAAGTCTAACTGCCACCATCCCTTTTTCAAAGGTTGTTAGAATTACATTTACTGGAAGAGATGATATTTCTAGTAGCTGCATGGCCTATTGGCCTAGAGCAAATTTCTGTTGGCTATGAATATGTCTTGATAAGGGGATTCACAAACATAACGTGCACTTACACCACTTATAGCAATAGAGGTGTTTCACAAATAAGTGCTGAGTCCTTCCTACGCACAGAAGACATTAAAGCAAAATTCACATTCTCTCAGAAACAGCTGATGTATCACTAGTGGTAGACCTAGCACAGTGTGAAACCCTTGATAATAGCACATTAGATATGCATAGAGGAATTATAAAGATAATAAGAAGCAAATCAAAAACATCAAAATAATACATGTTCCCAGTAGGATGAAAAAAAAAAGCAAGTCATGTGTTATGTTATCTTAGCAAATCAGTTTCTACATGGAGACAGTATAATCTTAATTGTGCATGTCTTTTTTTTATTAGAATATGACTCCTTGCACATTAGTATTTATTAATTAGTACCTCTAAGATCCACTTTTTTCCTAGAAGTTAGTTAACAGCATAGCTTATCATGACAAAGTGAAAAAAAAGTGTTGCTTATTCTTCTACTGCAGTCTTCATCCTTCTACCAATTATGTTCAGTTTTACTGTATTATTCATAATTATAAGCACCGTAGCTATAATCTAGCTAACGCATTCTATATTCTCAAGTGTTCCCCTCACACTGTTCTTCAGACCATTTGCTTTCCTCTTCAGGAAAGCTATAACTGGTATTTTAACTTTTACATAGTACAAAACAGAGACTCTTATTCAGAAATCTTTGCTTCAGCTTTCAATTTCACTTCCAAAGGCTGCCTGCTTAGCCTTTGAAGTTTTATGTTAAAACTTTTAAATTGATTAAACTTAAGTTTCAAGCTGTTTTTAAAGTCAACAATTGCATTTGAATGAACAAGAACTATCACTCATTGAAGAATACTATCTCAAGATATTATAGCTTAGATGTGTAAGATATGAGATATTGTAAGATACTGTAACTACAATAGGTGTAAACATCTTCTAAAAAGCTAATTTTAATGGTTAAATACACATTGATAAATATGCATATACCTCAACCCACACTGCTTGAGGAAGCAAGAAAAACTTCTTGCCTTGATAGGCATCATTCTTCTCATGCATAGTACTGAACTTGAGTCTCTATTTTTCCCCAATTAGTACAAAAACTCACTTCAACATCTAGAAATTTCTTAACATGTTTTAGAAGGCCATTTACTCTTTTATATTTCAACTCTTTCTAGATTATTATCTCAATCACAAATGAGCTGTAAGAAAAAGAACTAGATATCAGCCTTCCACCACAATCCCCTGTATCAACAATCACAGGGAAATATTTTGAGCTGCCAACCTTAAGAGGGGAACTGCAAGCTTCTCTTGACCCCAAGAACCCTTTACCATCTCTATTGCATCCATTTAAAGTGACTGCTAGCTGGCCTGTTGCAATTGCCAGGAAAGTGGTGATCACAGGACAAGTCACAGTTTTGAAATCATTTCCTTACTGTTTCTGATTGTGCTGCCATTGCTTTTTACATCGTGCCTAGCTAGAGCCAAGATACTAAAGTCTTATGATGCCTTGCCTTAAGAAAGCGTGGGGGGAAGACCATTGAAGAGGCTGACCAGCTAAACAGCCCTGCTAGGAGAACATGGGGGGAGAGGGGAGAAGGTGTTACACATCTGGCTCAGTTATATGTTGAAAAATTGAGTGATTAGTAATTGTTTCAAGTTAGAAGTTTCAGATCCTGTTTTCTAAATTTCCTACAAAATGTACCTGAGCTTCCTAACAGACTTGAAACTCCTTAGGACTATGACTCTGGTTTACCACAAGTAGGAGCCTCCAAAGAACACTCTTGAGCACAGGAGAGTGCTTTGGATTTTCAGTAGCTAGAGTTCATAAAATATCTCTACCGTTGTAGAGATGGTACAGCTTCTGGTACAGCAAATCTGTACCATTTTAACACTGTGATATAAAGTTCCTGTCCTCTTGCAGAAACATGTTCCAGCAATCCCTAAGGACTAAAAAAGATAAACTAATCTCCGTGCACACATCAGAGTTCTGGGAGCAGCTCATATCATACTGGATGTACTGCATCAGAACCTGCACAAACAGGAACACATCTTGCTGGCTCTGACACTGCACAGATAATTTAATATTGAAATATTTGGAGTAAAGCATCTAAAATATTCCAGTAAGGCACAGCTGAATGTTTTGAATATATCAAACAAAGTATCACGTTCAATATCACAGCTCCTTCCTGGTATTTGGGCACTAGCTGTGCTGCTTCAGTGAAGGCAAGTGAGGAGTGGAAGATTTTGAAGGACACAAAACTTGGTCACTATTCAGCCTCTCTTCACATTTCAACTTCTAATCTGCAAAGTATAATCATCTCTTATAGTGTGATTCATCACAGATAGGTAATAAAACCAACTGACCAATTTAGTTAATCACTAAAACCTAGACAAGATCTATAAGGCTATATCAAGCTAGACTCAAGTGTGTAGCGTATGAATGCAGTGTACTAAGAGCTCAACCTCAACAACATGAGATAACTAAGACCATTATCTATTATCAAAAGGAATGTTTTGTTTATGCAACATTAATAACTTACTGTGTGTAACAACCTGTCAATTATTTCCTCTGGTGTGAAATCAAACTAAATATTTTAACCTAATTCCTATCCTAAAGGGCATTTGTTCAAATAATGCTCAACGAAGCAACAAACCAAGATGTCCCACTTTCTAAGTAAATGTCTTGGACAAAAAAAAAGCTTATTAAGAGCTGTATTTCAGCAGTCTAAAAATTATTTTAATAGTTGAAATAATAGAAATTAAAAAGCCCATTTCAGATAGACAATGAGCCATTATAGTGTTCAGGCAATTTACCTGGGGCAAAAAAAATCCTGTGTAGCTTTGTATAATCGGGGTGATTAGACTAGAGAACTGAAGGCTGTACTTCAGTTTGGCTGGCTGGCCATACTGGGCAGGTGGTGTAGACCACAACTAAGGAAAAGCCTTTCATCTTTAACCTGAGAAATCTAGCTCCTGGTTTTGTTAAAACGGCATCCTCTCTCAAAAACTTCCTTTTTTTGTTTGTTGATTATTGTTCTTTTTGTTTGTTTGTTTTGAAAATCTGAAGAGCTTTCAGGTGTTACATCTATTTTAGCAGTTAGAACAGTGCAAGAGATCTGTAGAACAATATGGCTTGCAATGAAGACTTACTGTTCACATTATACATACTTAGGATTTTACTTCACGGTAGCTCTAATCTGGTACTATAGGCTGCTATATTCATGACTTTACATCAAAATGAACTCACTGGATCTGCGTTTCAAACAAAAACTTTGAAAATATTCTGAAGTTGACCTTTTGTTACTTGTTTTTCCATTAATTTTGAAGAGTAAGTAGATTTTTTTTTAAATTACTCTAACTCTGACAATTCAAGTTCTAATTTGAACCATGCTCAAATTCAGATACTCTGGGTAGATGAGAACTGATCAGTGTCTACACTATATATATATATATATATATACACACACACATATAAATATACATACAATGTTCAGCTCTACTTCTTTGCAAAGATAAGGTATTAAAGAAAATGAAAAGAGACAGAAAAGCATTTAAAGGTGTAAGAAATGTAAGAGAAAAAAGAAATAAGTACTATTATCCCATATTCTTTGCATTTTTACACCAGAAAGTAATATACAAGTTAACACTGCTTGGTCAGGACTCCACCCTTTAGCAAAGATATATCTTGAAGGTATTGAGCACCATGAAGTGCTCTCGTCCTCCACTCCCTAGGACAGAATTTACTTCTCAAGCTGTAAAACCACAGTGTCTGTAGGCTTAGCCTCCAGAAAGCACATCCTTTGGGAAACTTAGCACAGTCCAATTCATTTCTTTACTTTGCTTGGAAATATTGTTTATCTTAAGGGTCACAGTCATGCTAGGTATTGGAATGTGGCCTTAGATGTACAAAGAAGGCTACTTCATGGTTTGAATTAGACATCAGATAGGTACAAGTTAATACCTGGCAAATTTTTCAACATCACCCGTCCTTAATCCAGCGAGTCTTATTATTTAACTAGAACTTGGCTAAGGATGCAGACTATTATATACTAAGAATATTTCACTATCTATTTTAATATATTATTTTGAAATTAATTCCTGTGACAAAAAACCTACCAGGAGAAAATGATTATGTTTTCACAGGTTGTAACAAGATTAATAATACTAAAAATGAAAACCTACTTTAAAGTCTTAAGATTGCAATCAGAAAGTTCCACCTCTGCATGCCACTGCAGAAATATATATATATTTTTAATTGCACATGTGCCTTTTTGGTACTTCCAAAGCGGTAAGAACTGACCCATCTGAATTCCCCTAAGGAACTATTTTATTCATATTATGTCTCCTTTGTAATCAACACTGAGAAATGTCACTTTGATTAAACACAATTCTGAGTGGCTAAGACCACAGTACAATAAATTCTCCAGAGCTATCTTTCAGAACAACTGATTGCTCTCCAGTCTTAATCCCCCAGAGTCTTATTTAATCAAAATGATGTTGCTAATTAAGGATTAAAACTCAGAATAGAATAAAAAGGAAGGATTTTTTCTTCTCTCTTACGGTCAGGTCAAGGATACAGAATCTGCTTCAAGGAACTAAACAGTTCCATCCACCTTTTGTAAAGCTGACTTATTCACTGAAGTTTGTATTCAATTCAAAACTCTTTGATAGTAACATAATTGGAGGTAAAAAATAATAGCTAAGAAAACCATCCCCAAAGGAACATAGATCTGATTCACTAAGATCTTCACTGATTTTTCAGCACTGCTTTTTCAGTATGCAAATATGCTCAATTTTGATTTTAATAACTATTACTTGGATGTGTCTGTGTAAGGAGGGTAGGGAAGTTTAGAGTCTGTCCCATCTGGCCTTGAAGCAGCAATCTGGAGATTTCCACTGATACTTCTGCAGTCCTCAGGATTATGAGGACTTTAATCAGAAATGTAGAAGTGAAGGCAAATATACAACCAAAAGCACCCCTTGAAACACTGAAGGAGAAGTGAAAATTATTTGAAACTTAGATGATTTCCCCTCCATGCAAATGTTTTCCACAAACATTTTCCAGGAGAATATGTAAATATGTAAACTGAAACACAAATGCCAAGTGGTTTATCTGAGGCACCAGGAGAAACTGAAAGAACTGAAAAAAATCCTAAAGATCCTTGCCTTTAAGACTAGCAGTTAGAGACCACAAGTAAACCCTAGCTCTAACAAACTGGCAGGCTCTTCAGCCTGTTATTTCTAAAACTCTACTCTGATGTTAACTCTAATATACTATTGATTTTTTTTTTCCACCTTTAAGCAGCAAAAGCAAAATATCCTCAAGGCATATCTTTGCTAAAGGTAATAAACCAATTGGAATATGTTGTTCTAACGGCAACTAGATTATTTGTTCTACAAGCATTTGTGTAGATCAGTTGATGATAATTCTGATTGAAGATTTCTGCTAGAGGCAACCACAGTTTACCACCTATTCAGCACAATAACAAAGAGAAAAAACAGGAAAAACTTTTATAGAAAGCAGTTCTTAAGCTTTTAAAGGTCTGAATCCTACAGTTAAAATGAGAAATCTGAAATATGCCTTGTAAATTAACAAGGATGTTCAAGACAAAGTTCTATGATCCCCAGTAAATACTTAGCTGATACTAAGTTACTAACCAGTTGAAGAAAGAAAGAAGTTCCTTTAATCCACAGTCCTCCAGGTTGTACGCGCTCAGTGGACAAACTATAGCTCTTATGCCTCCAATTCCCAAGCTAGCTGTTAATAGTGCAAAGTAAAACACTATTTTCTGCTCCTTTTTGGTCAGTGTGTGAAGAATATGCCTCCTGTCAATGTAAATATCTTCAAAGGGAAATGCCACAACAGGTAGTAGGACTGTGCCTGAAATGGAGAAGAAAATTGCCATTTGAAATGGGTTAGAATGAGATCCCTGAATAATTTAAATCCAAACTCTGATATTAATATATTTGGAGGGAAAAAAATAGCCAGAAAAGCCTTCTTTTTTTTTAAAAAAAACATAAATATTTATTTTATAGCAGCTGTTGAAATGGCTGACAAAGGAATCAAAGATCCATGACATGGATGAGTGCAAAGAGCTAGAAACTTTTTGAATCTTGCTATAGGTAGACCAGCAAATGCCCCTCAGTAAGTGAAAGTTGGTTTCAAAATCCCTGTAAAATTCAGGTCCTTCAGTCAACTGAAGGGCTCACTCCTTTCACTGCCCCTTCTCTGTCTAGAGGGCAATAGCTCACCGTGTACCCAGGGGCACTAAGGCTGTGGGGTGCCTAAGACCCTAATAGGTCAAGAATGCTTAGTGAACTTTCCCTCAAAGAAAGTCCTTTTGCATTGTATTCACGGAAGAGGTAATGCAATAAAAAAGCAGTGTTCAGCCATGATTCTGACAAAGTTATCTAAATTCCTCTTTGGCAATTGTTTTGTGAGACTGTCAGTAGTTATCAAGGCAAGGTCTAGCCATTTGATCTGATAAAATGAGCAGGTATTCGATGACTGGCTAAAATCAATATCCAAACACATAAAATTCAGTCCGTGTCACCTGGGTCCAACTGCAAAATCTGCACTGAAAGGCCAAATTGCAGAAAGAGATCCCTAAGTAGAAGTCCATGAACACTCTCTAGAACACAGGAGTTACCCTTTTCCAGCATATTTTGCAGTCAAGAATGTTTGGAAAGCTAAAGATTTCATGCATTACTATTTTTCCTTACATTTTTACACATGCAAATAACATTTTGTGTGGCAACTGCAGAAAGCAGACTTGCTTATGCTCAGCTCAAATCCTGCTGCAAATAATAATAAAAAAAAAATAGTTCTGTTGGCTCAGTTTAAAAATCAATCCCCACCTGTGAAATTCACTAATTATTGCACCACAGCCATATGTAGCCTGAGAAGTGCTTACACATAGCAGATCTTCAGAATAACAGGTGGTGAAAGTGTCAAAATGTGCTAACAGGAAGCAGGCTCTGAGAATTAGGACATAGCTTCTGTACTTAAGGCAAAAAAAATGTTTATAACAATATATACTTAGTTACATTTTTCCCACTTGACCAAGTATGAATACCTTTACATATAATATACCTTTACTCTTATATAATAAATAATAAACTCTTACTAGCAACAGCTGGGAAACAGTTTCCGAATTATGTCACAAAAAATGGCTCAGAATCTCACATTTCCCCCAAACGCTAATAACTTCAGATGTTTGTTAAAGGGACCCACTTAAAGAAAAAGCTGAACATCTGTCTTCTGTATCACTGAGCCACTTAGTGGGAGTCTATTTTGGGCGCTTAATATTTGGAAGTTGTAGCATGCAAAAGTAAATTAGTTTTCATCAAGGCACTTTACAAAACTACATAGGCAAACACATATTAATACATTTTGCGGAAGAGAAACTAAAGCAATAACTAGTAGAGAAGTTGCCCACAAAGCTAGGAACACGGTCATATTTCCAGCAAACGTTTAGTAACACATTTCCACAACAGAACTATTAGAACATAACGGTGCATGAAACAGCCATGAGGACATCACCTACCTAGGAAGTGCAGAAACAGGCAGATGCACACGAGCTTGATCCTGCCCACGAGACACTCTGCGAGCCAGCCGACCAGCACCGGGGTCAACATGGAGGTGCCTACAAAGCACATGTTGACGATCGCCGCCTGGTAGTTGCAGTAGCCGAGTTTGACCGTACAGAACAGGATCATGTTGCAGACGATGCCAAAGAAGGTGAACCTCTCACAGAGCTCCACCAGCAGCAGACAAATTGCTGCTTGGAGGTTCTTTTCGGAGCGAGACCCGTTTCCAGTGTCGTTGCCTCTCCTGGATAACAACGGTCTCTGCTGCTTGTCGCCAGCATGGCTCAGAAGTCGCTTCTCTTGCACAGCTCTTCTGTCTACTGGCATGACTTTTTGGAGTAAGATGGGGCAGAGCAGCTTAAGTTACAGGTAGACTTCTGTTATCCCACAGTGCAATTAGCAACCTCGCTTTGAATTCCACACTTCTCTACTACAATTTCTCAGGGCACCTGCCACTTCTGTGCTACTGCACAGAGGATCAAAGAGTATCAAAAAAAATCAAAGGAATACATCAACATTTCAACTTCTGACTTTAGCAACATTCAGCAACTCAATCTGTTTTTTGTTGTTGTTGTTTTTGCCTTAAAAAAAAAAAAAAAAAAAGAAGTCCATTTGAGGATGAGCAAGATTTCCCTCTAAAATTAAATTACCTGTTAAATTATGTGCAGCCAATACAATATGTACAACTCTATCTGTATGTTAAGATAAAACTTTAAATAGATAGGAAGGCTAAGCATTTTCCAGCAGAATTTAAGTAATAAATCAAGAAAATAATTTGGAGAAATCTGATACTTTAATTAAGCAACAAGTGGAAAAACTGTAAACAGAGATAACTAGAAAGATTTTTTTTTAAGGTTAATAATTCCTAATTGTTATTACATTTCTTGATATTTTTGGTTGAAGTTTAGATAAGAAAGCTAATTATACATTTAAGTTAAAGAAGCAAATTTTATAAGAAAGTAACAGATTTCCCAGATGAACTTCTCTGCTTTGCAGTGCTCACTGCAATTAATAATGGCTCTCCAAATTACTGCCAATTAAGAAAATATTTTGCATCTATTTTGTAGCAATGTACACAGATACATGTTACAAAGTAGCATCAAAACAGGACTCCTTTTTAAAAAAACTCTCAGTGCCTTTGATACTTGTTCTTATCCATCCATATATTAATCAAATTTTCTCTCTTCAAATCTATTTGCTATATGAGAACTACTATATCCTCAACGAAATGCACAGGAGTATATATCCAATATGGATAAACACAGATTTCAGGATTGCTTTCCAAATACATAAATATTGCTAGCAAGTTTGGTGTTACTTCCCTCACTTGTTTCTGAAGCAATATTACTGAACCCCAAACCTAGATGATCTGAATAACACTAAGATTGTCACCTAAAATAATCCCTAAATAATTGCCTAAATGAGATTGTACATGTGAAGTAGATAAGAACCTAAAGCCAGCACTCAGGCATAAAAAAACTTCTATTTTTCAGAGAGATCCAGCAAGGGATGAAAGTTGCAGCAGCTTACAACATACCAAGGCCTCTTTTTTCTTCTTATCTAGGATGGGCTAAAATGGACTTCATTTGGAACAACTGACTAGGAAAACCCACACTGAAAATCACTTCTAACTCATTTTCTGTATCAAAGCTAAACGAAGCCAACCACATGTCAAGTTAGAAAAGAAGAAAATACTTTGACTAAAAAAAAAAAAGCACATGCACCTTCTGTTGCATGAAGCCACACTTATGTAAACATTCATGAACACATTTACCTTCCTTCTTTCAAAATAAATAAGAAAATCTGTATCTTAGAATCAAAAAGAAAAATCAGGATACCTACATTCTTACTCCTATCAACATTTCAACATGAAACAGTCTCTGTTTTCCTACAAATTATTTTTCTTAAAAGGTGCACAAAGATTTACCTGTTCTCATGGATCCTAGCAAGTGAAAATGAATCACACCACAGAATGTGGCAGAAAAAGTAGGGTTACTAACTGAGTAACCTGAGTTACTAACTGAGAAAGCTGTATCTGAATCCTCATGTGGTTTCAATTACCCTAATTTTAGGCAGCAAGTGAGTGAAAAAAGCAGTAATTGCCTAAGCCTTACAAATGCTACAGAGAAGCAGGAGGTGGGTGATTTTCATTGTTGTTTCTTTTAAATTGCTGTTGCATGTGACTCCTATAGGTGTGGTGGTTTAGATGATTACAGACTGTAATCAGTAAATGAGTTAACATACCAATGTTAAGAACATATACAACTTAATATAACAATGTGGCCTTTGTTGATTTTTTTAAACCACTTCTACTGCAATTTTATGTTTTATATCTAATTCCTTGGCATAGTTTTAGTTGAATTCCAGTTGAATCAACCTGTGTTCCTTCAGCTTAATCTTTTCTTTTTTTTTTTAAAAAAAAAAAAGGTTGATAGGACTGCATAATCCCTGATGAAAAACTCTATTATTTTTATTAATATTCTCGTTTTTTCATATATGTTGAAGTAGCTGGAAACTGTACCAAATAACTACTAAAAGGGTTTTGATTAGGCCTTTCTACTGGCAGTACCTCTGCCTTCCAGTAAAAAAAATAAATAAATAAAAAAGACTTCAATTTTCAAACAAACCTTCTTCATATAGAACAACACACAAAATGGAAAAGTGAGATGTTCCAGAGAGGTTTATAAAAACACTTGCTCTCTGACATGTCAGTGTCAGTTCATTAGAGCACTGGTCATTAATAAAAGGGTTGTTATTATCTGATAGCTCATCCACCAAGGCAGCAGATTACTTCTACTCATATTGGAACCTATAAATTAGCATAGGCAAATGAATTAAGTTGGACAGGCTGGCACTGAATTACTATTTTATTCTCTCTTACTCAAATGACAGCAGTATTTTTATTATGGAGAAGTTTATTGAAAATGAAGAGTTAGAACTTCAGTGTCTAATGCAACAGCTCCTCTGGTTAGAAGGTAAAGTCTCTAGACTTCTATTTATATGCTAGAAGGGCCATGCTCTCTATCTAATGTTTTAGCAAGTTTAATAGAGTTCTTATCTTATTCTTTTTAAGAACATGTGAAATGTGTTGCCCTTTGTCAAACCTGCAGCTGTGGTTCTTGCTAAATACCTGTGCAGTGAAAATGTAGTTGACAGATTGATGACGCAACACAACAATTTTGACATTGTAAATAAGAAGATTATGTGGGTCAAATCTCAAGTCAGTGCTCGAGTTTCCATTAACTTCCCTGGGTTGAGAAGCTGGATCAGTGACCCCAGGAACTGCAATGTCTTAATCCAAAAGCAGGGCCGAAGTCCTGGGTACCGCTCTGAGTGGACTGAAAGTAGGGGCAGTTATGCCTAGGTAATGCACCGTAACATGATGGCATGATCACAGGGGTACGGTGGTAGGTTGCAAGCAACCAGGGGAAATACAGCTCAAAGAAATACAGCTCAAAGCTGGATGTGAGATGGGGAAAGGTAGGAAAGTGTTGTAGAGATGGGTTTGGAGAAGTGTTCCAGGCACCAAAGGGTCTTGCAACAGTTCTCTGTGACTAGTTAGAAGAGTTAAAACTTTTGTGACATAAAAAAAGGGATGTGGTAAATGCAAGGATATGCTTTTGCAATCACAGCTTTCTGCAGGCACTGCTTAGGCCTTCTTTGGTCTGGGGCAGGACATGTAGACTCAGAGCCAGGGTGAGTCCCTGTGCTATGAGATGAGATAAGATATCCCCATGTCTTTCTCTCTCTCTCTCTCTCTTCTCCCCTCTGTCTCCTCCTGCACTAGCATTAACAAGATGGGAAAATCAAGACAGGCAAATTGCAAGTCTTTTCGCCACAAATAATTGTGGGAAGCAATATTCTTGCACAGCTCAAAGATGACCTGCTGCTTGTGACTGTGCTTTAAGGAACTTCAAAATGGCTGTGACCGCAGAGTTTAACCACAGATAGGTAAAGAAGGGTACATATTTGCTGATTTGCTAAAGAATGATAGTTCCATCCTTTCTCACGGGCAAAAAATGAAAATTTTTTATTTAAAGTTACTATGACAATTCCTGTGGAAAGGATATAACATAGGTTAGGTCAATTAGCAAAATTAACATCTTTAAAGTCTTACCATTGACAATCATTTCAGAGATTTCTGCCCTGCCTATCACTGCAGTCTCTCAGTACTCTGGCTGCTTTGCAGACAGTCTTGAATAAGAACTTTGATGAACTGGAATAAATTCTAGAACATGATGGTATTTCTTTTGGTTCGTGCCATTTGAAATGTGTATCTGATGTTTCTGAAATAACTTTGCAGCATTAGCAAATATGCTGAGTAATATATGTTCTACTGCAAGCCAGAAGAACAAATACACACAAAACCTAAGTACTGTGTTAATAATGTAAAAGGTCAATTAAGAAACGGAAATGCAATCATCAGGTGGTTGAGAAAGCTTATTTGTGAAATCTGTTAGACAAGAAAATCTACTCAAAGAAAATTGTTTTCTAGTCTATAAATACTTTTTGAATGTTAGAAAATTATACTCAGAAGGCTGGAAAAAAGCATCTACAAAATAACCTGTTATTAAAATTATTGACTGTATGAGAAATTGTCTGGAAAATTTGGAAAATGTGGTGCTACATCATGTTTTAATAACTTTATTCTTGCAAAACTTTCAAAAATTTACCCAGATGTAACTTAGAACCTTAACCCAGTTCTGCCTTGCAGCAGGATAGATGCAATACTTACTGTCTTGTACCACGGAAACTTCTGTTTGTGCAAGTGTAAGGCCAGGGTGAGAATATTAATTTGTGGATAAACTATATTTTAAGAAATATACTTGTCTATTTTTTTCCTTTTGTAGTCATATTTCAAAAGGAGGTGGGAAAGCTTTTCATTCTTCAAAAACAAAACACACGAAGAAATAGCAATAGAATAGAAACTAACAAATTGTACTCTGAAGAATACATATTTTTATCAACAGACAAACTTATTTGCTGAGGTGCCAAAATGGAGAAGAATGCATGACATTAAGCACCTAAGCAAGTATAATAAATTATAAGAGAAGGACATGAGTGAGTTCAGGGATGGGCAGGGATTATAAGGGGTTAACCCACCTATGATATGAGAAGAGGTGGAAGAGCTGGGTTTGCTTAGTCTTGAGAAGAGAAGGCTCAGGGAGATCTTATTAATGTGTATAAATACCTGAAGGTATGTAAAGAAGACTGGCTGTTCTCAGTGATGCCCTGGGAAAAGGCAATAGAGAACAAGCACAAACAGAAACACACACACACAAACACACACACACACACACAAAAGGCTATTCAAATATAAGAAGAAAACTCTTTCACCTTGAAGATCTTCAAACACTTGAACAAGTTGCCCCAAGTGTTTGCTGCGTATCTTAGAGATACTCAAATCCTAAATGGACATGGCCCTGAGAAACTTGTTCTGTGTCAGACCTTGCTTTCAGCTGGGAGGTTGGATCTCAGAGGTGCCTTCCAACCTTAATTATTCTGTTATTCTAAGCAGGAATATGCTGTATATGTTTTGCTTTATGCTAAAGCAAAATCTAAACAAGAAGGCAATAAAGAAAATATTTTTTTGTCCTGTTTTCAGAGATGTGTCTATGAATAGTTGGGGAGAATGGTCTGCTAATTAGCTGTTATACTTTATTTTCTATGGAGATAATTTTAAAATTGCTGACCCCCAAGCCTTTGGTACAAACGAAAATTATTTTGGCATGATTACTCTGTTCCTTCGAAGTGCACATTTTATTTTGGGCATTTTCTTCGAACATATATAATTATCTCTGCTAAGCAGTTTTTCATGTATTCGAAGGCTCTCGTCTTATTGCACCTATTTGATGGTGTTATAATTCGGAGTAATTGAATTGCAATTATTTTTCATGATGCACGATACAGTTTTATATCATATTCTTGGCAGATATTCTTTATGATGTCATTTGATCTAATAGAAAAATTAAAAGTAGTTCTATCATATAGAAAGATAGCTTTTTCTTGTCATGTTATAGTTTGTAGATGACACTCAGGGTATTTTCTTTTGATGTATAGATTTTTAGGTAGAGATTGAAATGAGATTCTAAAGCAGGGCTCACAGTTGAGACACTATTACCTGTATATCCAAGATGATTTCTACTATCCTCCCGTAGTGACAGTTCATTTATATTCAAGACCATTTAGTGTTTTTTTTTTTTTTTTTAAATACATACAAAGTATTGTGTGCTGAGGGAGATTCTGCTCTGATTTTTCCCTTGATCCAACCTAACAGATTTTAGAGAAGTCATGAAAGGATGGTAGCATCTTTTTCAGAAGCAAACAGGGGACTGACAGTAGATGTCTCTCCTCACTGAAAAGCTTTCCAACCACCGCAGTCATCGCAGTAAAATCTTTCCATGAAAGATAGTCCACAACAGATAGGAGGGAGAAAGCACTATGTGCAATGATCATATGAAATGATGAGCTCATCCATCAACATGAAATTTTCACAAACAGATTGTATAAAAGTGGATAGCAGAAAGTTCCACATAGCCATCTTAAAACCTTTTGGATATCCCTTTTTGTTCATACACATTCCACCCTTGCAAGCTGGTACTGGAAAGAAGGTCATATAACTTACTTATTCAACTGCAACCTTAATTTCCAGAAGCTGAAGACTGTGTGAATTACTACAGACCCTATTGAAAATATCTGGTGTAGCTTGCTTGGAGGAGAAACCTGCAGAGTTGAAAATGCCTCTCATTGTATTGCCCAACACTTCCATAATAAAATTGTTTTGTAGAAACAAAATTTTCATTTTTTTTAAAGACATTATTCAATTATTTTCAAAATTCTAAAGCAGAATGTGACATTTTGAGCAGGCAATTTCAACTCAACCAGCTAACAAAGCCCTTCTGTCTCTTTTTTCTCCACACTTTCTCAGTGGTCTTCAGTTCTAGAGTAACTTGCTGTCACTTTGCAGTAATAGCTTGTTCAAATGATTTATGAAAATTTTAAAAACACCAAGTTTAATACCTTACCAAAA